ATGTTGATAAATTGAAACAGATCTTGCAAATTACTTAAAAAAATATTGTGAAATGGGAATCTAAAAATTAAAAACAATCAACAGGATCTATTGTGACGTCATCTTGTGGCTTATTTAATTTATTCAAATCTGCTGACGGTAGCTAAAATCACTTTCAGTTGGAAAAAAAATTATTTCTGGGATGATCTACATGCACGTTTTCTTTTTCTGTGATAATAATATTAATAATTTTATGATTTTTTGGTTTGTCATTTGAACATTTTTTTGCTGATTAAGCATATTCATTGGGTCTTCATTTATCCCTCTCGAGCTCGGTTATATTTGTCAGATACATGTAGGTTATATATCGCAACCATCGTCATCTGCCTTATCAACATTCCATATTCCCAGTCAGTTTTTATGATATTTTTCATGACAAATAAACTTATATGACAAATAGACTTATATGGAAAATAATAATATGATCTATGTATGATATTATACTTATTTATTAATTTTAAATGAGTTACGGAGTCATAATTTCAACTAAATAAAATTACACCTCTCAATGAACTTTGAATCTGCCACCTATGTTCAGAAATTAAAAAACACCTTTTATTCAAAATGAGATAAGTGTCTGAAAATGAGTTTTTATTATTAGTATCTTATATTACATATTTTGTCTTATTTATTTATATCAAAAAATTAGTGCTAAAGCTATTATAACTTATGAGGACCCCATTGGAAATAAGCCTTTATGGCTTTTATGGGTCATCCTCGGGAAAATGTCTATACACAGTGCTATATTTATGTTCATTTAGACATATAAATGTAATTTTTCTTCTTCTTCACAATTACATATTTTTTATAATATGTTATTGTTTTAAGAACATATGTAATTTTACTTGTATTTTATAATTTTTTTTAGATTCATGTGTCAACGCATGTTCTATGTGCCATTTCCTGAATAAACAAGCTAATTCAGAGAATTGTGCCCCCCGCTTAGGGAAAAATGAAGAGCATGCGCAGTTCGGGGAGGGGGGTGTTGGACCCCCCCCCCCCCCGGATTTGTAGAATTATTAAAAATACACATGTATATTGAAGCAAATAAAAAATGCCAATATGGATATAAAGATTTGATTGCTTATTCTTTAAAAGTGTGTAGAAGCTTCTTTTTATATAGAATATTAATCACACATTTACATTTCACATGTTGAATACTATCATTTAGTTAAATAATAATAAAAAAAGAAAAAGGTTCGTCGGAGAATTGAACCCGGGACTCTCGCTTGCTAAGCCAGCATCATACCCCTAGTCTATCGAGGCACTTTATTGTATTGCAGATTAAATGCAAACAGTAGGTCACATAATGTTTATATTCACGTTCGATATTGTCAAAATGTTAATCAATACATGGTGTCTAATTTAGCCTTTACTAACAGTTCTTATAGATGTTATAAGAATATAATGTCTGCCGACAACCTGTATTATACGTAATAACTCTCCACATGCCCCTGTGCTAAAAATAGTGCCATGCGACTTTTAATACAATACATGTAAATACTAATTAAAAAACGGAGCGGGACACTTTGAGAGGGGTAAGAGAGGCCCTAGGGAGTTATGAAATAAAATTTCATTGTAAAAGCTTAAAAGCTTCTTGAGATATCGCCCGGAAAAGAAAGTGTTACACACAAACAAAATGCATAAATTTACGACCTTGAACTCCGACCTTTTGACCTCAAAATCAATAGAGGTCTTCCTTAGGCCACAGGGATTTCTTGTGTAAAATTTCATTGCAAAAGCTCAAAGGATTCTCCAGATATCGCGTGGAAACGAAAGTGTTAAAACAGACAGAATTTATGAATTTATGAACTTGACCTTTGACCATTTGACCTCAAAATTAATAGGAGTCTTCTTTAGGTCATAGGGAGTTGCTATGCAAAATTTCATTGCGAAAGCTCAAAGGGTTCTCGAGATATCGCGTGGAAACGAAAGCGTTACAGACAGACAGAAATACAGACGGACGGACGGACAGACAGACCCAAATTAACATCCCCCACTTTCAGTGAAAGCGGGGGACAACAAATGCAGTGGTTTAGATTTTTATTTCATAGCCCTCGTTTCGTAAATTATATTTTAGAAGTATTTGCTGATATTTCAGTCTGATAATTCTATTTCCCTTATGTTTACAGTTGTTACTTACGTGAAAACCCCTTTATTATTTGTCTGTTATAAGTTAGGACATGTGTTGACATTCCACATGTTTTACTTTTTAAACAGGAAGTGTCATTCATGTTGGGAGTCTTTCCATAGTACTTTTGGTAGCTGTTTTCTGATTGGTTAAGTTACTTGTAGGATCTTTGATATTTATTGGCTTTTATTTTGGGGCCTATAGCTAGGGTATTTAAAGCCTTGTTCGTGTAGTTTTCTTCACTTGGGTTGGGGAACACAACCTCATGGTTCGTTCCTCTTTACTGTGCTAAGAAAACTTCATGGTTTATGAGCACTATTTGATTAGTACCTTAGAGTGCTAAGAAAACCTCATGGTTTAACAGTACTCTAGGTCTTAGCTAGCTTTAGTATCACGTTTTTCACAAGTTCTAGGATTCTGTTAGGAAACAGTTAGGATGTAGGTTTAATAGAATAGATTCATTTTCCCCTTTCCAAGTCCAGCCTGGTCTAGGGATTTCTAGATAACAGTTATAATTTCTAGAACCACAATTTATTGTTTATTTTTGGTGTTGTTTATTTTCTGGGTTAGATATTTTTAGAGTCCACATTTAGCATTATCATTTTAAGTTTAAACCTAGTGTTGATTAATAGAGTTCATATTGGGTGATGTAGCTCATTTCCCTTACATTTTTCCAAGTCATCGACATTTATAGCAGTTTTTATAGGATTTTTGACCTTTTTCATAAGTAACAGTGGGACGGACAACTTCGGAATGGACATTTTTCCGAACTTGCGCACCCTTTTCCTTTAAAACTATTATCTTATGATTTTTTTTTAAATGGTGGGGTTTTTATATTTAAATTGATTTATGAAATAAAAAATCCAACATTTTTAGTTAGTTTTTGAGATATTAAGTGGCAAAGATAAAAATCCCATGGGGAAACATCTACTTAAATTACCCCATGAAAACCCCCACAAAAAACCCCATGGGGTTTAAAATTTTCCCCATGGGGAAAATTTACCCATAAATTCAGTGTGGGGATTTTTAACCCATGTGTTGCTTATATTGTAATGTGGGTTTTTTCCCCCACATTTCTTCATCAAGGGGTTAAAAAACCCATATATCAATATTTATTTTCTCTAAGATGTTTCCTAAAGACTGTCTTTTTAAATGCATCATTTTCTTCTTTGTCTTTCTATAATAGTTAGTAGTTATTACAAATATATATTTTCATTTATTTGTGTATCTATTCCTTAATTTATGGGAACGTGTTTAAAAAAGTTTCATATGAAACAGTCAAGAAAATAGTTAACTCTTTTTAATCATTTCTAGCTGTTGGCAAATTTTCATCCACACTCCCCTTACATCCACCACTCATAAGTTTGGATCATGGTCATCCATTTCTAGTAAGCTAAATGTTTTATATCTAAACCCATACAGTTATATACCCTGAAATAAAATATAAAAATCTTTTTATCCACCACAAATATTTAAAATTTTTAATGTCTACTCCCCTTGGATCCACCATTCATAAGTCTGGATCTTGTTCACACATGACTTTGACGTAAATTAGACATAATTATTAAAGAATAAGAAATTATCCCAAGAACCACCTACCAATATTTTGGATCCCAATCACTCATTAAAAATATTCATATTGATTTAAAGTCTTGATATTTGAGGTTACATTTAAAATAAATAATCAACAAATATCTTCAAAATCTTGAATCCCATTCCCTTTGGAGCCACCATCAATTTCTGGATCTTGATCATCTATTAAACCTGCCTCTGGTAAGACGGAAACCTAATATTAATTACACCCCTTCCCTAATATTCACCTCATAAAATACTGATCAGAGTCAATCATGCAACTGTACATTAAACAAACTGTTTTACAGTTTAATTAAAAAAAATGCTCACAACCTAATCACTAGGTTGTGAGCTAATGTCCTGAAGAATTTGTATCAATATCAACAAATTGTACATACATGTGTCAAAAATAAATCAAATATTTTTTGTCATGTTCCATTCAGGTATATACAGGCCTAAATAACATTATAAAGGTCCCCATTCAAATTGCCAGGATTTATAGCATGCCAATACTTACATCAGTTACATGTAAACAAAAGTTGCTTGTCTGTAATGACAGCAGAATGGACAGGTCAACTGGTGATGTTAGTTGAGTAATTCACACATGCTAAATCAAATAGACTGATTTAAAACTTGCATGAATTAATCCTTGTTACAATAGACTTTTTACTTTCATCTACAGTATAGTGTACGATAGGGATAGCCGACAGGTGATGTTTCTTAGCTATTTCACCTAAAATTTAAATATAAAATAAGGGTAGTATAATAAAATGCAATAGGTCCTTAACTGCAGAACTTAGTTATAAATAAAAGAAATTTCATTGGTTATCCTTCTCATTGTTATTTAAATTAATTCTGATGACCTCTTGCTGAATTGGAAGTTGGCTGCAAAGGGCAGTAACTCAATCTCATTATAGAAGGATTAATAAAAGGTAACTCTCATAAATGAAAGATAACTTTTACTTCATACCTCCTATAGTCTTTTTCTCATATTGTGGTATCTGTAAGTTGTATTTTAATTGTTGTCTGACCTGTTCAGTATAGCATGGCAATCCACACTGACTGAAAATGTGGTCAAGAAGCTGCGTAACAGTGGTCAAATTTGGTTGTGTCTGAAAACAAATATATACACATGTATTTAAAAAAATAAAAATTCTTTATACTTACATTAAAGTAATCTAATGTAACAGTATGAGAAGTATAACAATAACATTTTTACAAATTGTGCAATTGCATTACCTTTGATAAATAGAAAGCACTCTTTTATGTCTGTGTTAATCTCCCTTTCAGTCAAATCATAAACGTCACTTTCTTTTCTTTCCTTATCCCTCCAGTACAGCACCTGTAATGCAAAATATTAAAATTAGTGCCTGCTCTTATCCTGGTTAAAAGAGAAATTATAATGAATTCTTTGCCATATAAAAATAGAAAATATTTAATATTAAAGGCTTAACATTTCCATTATGAGTGTTATATTTCACATATATTCACAAAAACATTACACAATACAGACACAAACATAGACTAATAAAACACAAACAAACAAAAACACATGCAGTTGAAAGGTGCTTAGCGATATTTTCTGTTTGCAAACCCTTTATAAAATTATGGGTTTAAAAACATTGATTTCAACATGCACTTTAAGATATGGCTGTACGTCTGGTGTGAAACATGATGGGGAATTGCTGTTGTAGGCAATGAAGGTAAATATGCCTTAATACAACATAGAAATATTCACAGATACTTTCTTGACTATCCGTTAAGTTTACCACAAACTTTACAGTCATGGGGGATGAAATTCCCTTCGTTATAAGCATCAATTTATTGTAAGCGTATGTGTTCGCAAAAAGCATGTTTCATTGTATGTCTTTTTAGAGTTGAGTAGCATGTGATATGCTGGTAAAACATGAGTCTACACAATCATATAGTACACATCATTAAATGTCAAAAACCCTACACCCTCCTTAAATGAGGAATTGTGATTAAGAAGTATAATTAATGTACTTATAGCCTCCACTTGTTATCTGAAATTTCACAGTGTATCTGCAAGGTGATGTGACTGTAACATATTAATTGGAAACTGGAAATAAATTTCATTTAATTACTTTAAAAACTCCATCTTTGAAACTTAATATCTTCCCTTCCCAGTCTACATTTTCTCCATCATTATTTGTCCAAGTATGTATTATTTCCTTTTCCACTATATCCTCTGGAGACACATTTACAGTTGACTTTCTGATATTTAACAACTCAATTAAATTTTCTTTCAATTTCAGATGGTCAAATTGCTTTCCTTTTGATGAATACTGGCAAAGGTGTTTATGTTGTTTGTTAATTTTGAATATTTTTTTATACATATTTATCTGTGTTTTCAAAGCCTGTAATTTCTTTTTTTGTTTTCAACTTCTCTACTTCTTTTTCGATAATCTCTTTGCTCTCCCAAATCCTATGTTCTCTCATGTCTTCTATTGCCTTATCAACAGCCTCTGTCTGTCTCTCTCTCTCTTCTTCTCTCTCTTTTAAAAATTTTTAAATGTTCTTCATATAATTTAATTTTTCTTTCTTTCTGTAATTCCATGATTTTTTTATTTTCTTTCATGGCATTTTCAATTATTAATTTTCTTTCAGAGTCATCTTTTTCTGTTAACCACTCACTTGTTTTGTTGTCATTAAAAATGATAGAACTTTCAATGGTATTTATACTGGAAGTTGGTCCTGTTTTCAAACTGAAGTCTAACTGTCCCATAAGTCTCTCTAAACATATGTTGTTTGAAATACATGATGAACATTCTGATAAAACATCTGGATTTACATTAAAATATTTGCCACCTGAGAGAAAGTCACTAAAATTTTTTTCAACTTTTGTTTTTAAAACACCACAAAGTCTTTTTTTAAAAAACAGTAGTTAAATCGTTGTGTAAACAACAATCAAGTAAATAATCTGAAACACTGTCATAAAACTGTGGCCCATAAAATAATCGCAATTGTTGCTTTAAAGCCAATGATGGATCATCATAAAACATATTCAAAAAAGGTAAAAGCCTCTCATATACAGACCCCATATATAAAATATTGCCAACTTCTTAAGCCTTTAAAAAGTAAGGTTCAGTAATTAATTTGTATAAAATTCCAAAAGCTCTTAAAAGACATAAAATAACCTTATTTTGTAAGGATAAAACAATGAAATTCTGTAAAACAGAATAGGAAGTTTTCAATGAAAAGAAATATTGTAATAGTAGTTTGTGGATAAAAAAAAGTACCAGCAGCATTGTAAAATGAAACATTAAACCTGCTTCCTCTAAAATTAATTATTGGAATATTTTCTACTCCATGGCTTTTCATAAAAAACTTGTAAATCTTTTGGATCTCCAACACCATCTTTGTAAAACATCTTTGAAACAGATTTTAAAACACACAAGATAAAAGGTTCTTTGACTGAATTTGAATAACTTTTAAAATTGACATGTAATTCTTTTTCAATATTAAAAGATTCTTCAACACACACATCAGAAAATTGTATAAGTGGATGTATACAGCACATTTAAAAGAATGAACTTCATGAGGTATTTCCTCGCTTAAAAGTCATTGACTTTCTGATTGGTGGCACTTCTGTCTGTCATAAAACAGGACACTGAATTTAAAATAGTTCTTGCTTCACATTCATTAGAAGACAAATCATTTAAAATTTCTTTTGTACAATTAATATAAGTATCACTTTTTCCATTACATACTTCTCTAACAACCGCAGTAAAAATATCTTCCCCTGTGTTCAATTTAACACCATAAAAATGTTTACCTTTTTCGTAGTCGCATCCCTATGCATTGTTGTGTTATCAGAAGTTAAAAGTTTTTCATTCAAATGGTTTCTAGATACAACACCCATTTCACTAGTTCAAATTGCATCAGTACTTTCGCTGGGTAATTTTTTTTACAGTAATATTAAACAAATTTAAAACTGCTTCAATAATTGGTGCTATATGTACAATGCCAACACTGTGGCTTCTAAAAATATAATACAAATTCCTTAATTTAAAATTAAAAGGCTTTCCTTTTGACATCTCTTGAAAATCTAATTTTTTTTCTATCTGTACAACATCATTGGAACTGTCTTCAACATTCTCTTTTTCTGACAACAAAACATCCATTTCTTTTTTAATGTTTTTTATATATGTTTTAAAAGTGTTACACTGTACACCTTTTTCTTTTGCATTTTTTTTTTATTTTTTCATTCTGCTGTAAAACTTCCACCTCTTTTTTTAAAAATTCAATTCTCTCTTTTTTCCTTTTCAAATTTCTATTAATGTTGCTAATGTTTATTCCCCTTAAACGGTCTTTCAATGCGGAATTCTCCCTCTTTAAATGTAAAATTGTTATTTCTTGTTCATTTATTTTGGCCTGTAATTCTGGATAAGTAATACTGTCTTCTTTGGGTTTCTTAATGGTGTCTTCTTTGGTCTTCTCTTGTTTTGTTGAATTTGGTAATTAAAATTTCTTCTTGCAATATGCAGCATATTTCTCCCTGTTGGTGTATTTATTCAAACGTTCTATTTCTTTGACTATTTTTTTAACTTTCCAAAGTAGGGCAAATTTACTTATTTCAGTGCAAATGTTTTTGTGAATTTTCTGTATATAATCAGGACTGCCCTTGTGTTTGTCGTAAATTTCTTTAATGTTAATGTATAGAACCTCCATGATCATAAATTAACAGGTATAGAGTGAAAAATAGTGAGCTAACTAATGTTAATTATATGCTGTAGAGAAATGAAATGAAAATAAAATTGAAATAAAAGAAGAAATGAAATAAATATAACAAAAAGTAAAATGACAGAAACAGAAAAAAATTGAAAGAAATTGAAAATAAATGACAGATGAAATAAAATATAATAAGGTAAAATAAATGATAGATGAAATTAAAAAAAGGGGAAATGTATATGTGCTACATGTATATATAACTATTACACAGAAACAGATACATTTACCATGTTTACATTTTACAACATATAAACAAAACAGAAGCACACATAACAATTAAGTTTAAAGTATATTTACCTTAATATGGATAATCTTTTTGTTGATATTTCACTCTTGTAAACTGTTAATTTTAATTTCAGACCTGTAAATATAAATATTAATAATAGCATTTCACTGTAAATCTGACATTTGACATATTTATGCAAAATTCACAATAAAATTCTGTTTAACTGTTTAAGCCATTGGGCCTACATTGAAAGGTAGGTTTGAAGACAAAGTATAATTAATAAATGAAATATGTATATTTACATCATGTATATGTATGTAAATTGACACTTCAGTTTTGTGAAGTAAACTATAACAAGGGCAGGTAATTTACTTACAGTATCTTCGATTGTCAAACAGTTGATCCGAGTTTTATAAAGTGTGACAAAAAGTGAGACGTGAAATAGTTTTTTAATTACATCAATAATAAAGAATAGGTAATGAGCAATCACTCTACACTACTTAATCTTCCTTAATGTAAGCTTTTTAGACACAAACACCAAAAATACAAAATATGTCAAACTGTTTGCAAGCAATCGTGTTGCATTTTCTAAAACTTAAAAACTACGATCGCCATTTCAAGAATAAATTATCATAACAAATGTGAAATAAAACTATATAGGAGCTTTAAATGAGATGTCACAGATATGTATGATACCTACAGCCAATAACTTACTTACCTCTACCCTAAGCTACGGTCTTCTTTCACAAACGTGATAACATGGATGCCTGCTGCCTTCCGGTTGGTTACTATATTTAGATAAAATGGCGTTAGCTGGAATGGCTATGTTTTTGACTTTCTCTTGTTCAATTTTTAAAGCGCTCTTCTGACTTGGACCAAGTGTTGACTAAATGACGAAAACATGAACAACACAGAGGAATCTTAAATCGGAATCCAAAGTATTTTTTTTTTTTGGGGGGGGGGTACTTTTTTTATTTAGAATAATGACAATAATTTACTTTTTTTACTTATAATATGAAACTTGCGAAATCGTTCTCTGTTTTTTTGTTATTTTTCCCTTTTTTTGCCTGATCAGCTAAATAAAACGCAATGAATCTGAGCTATACATGCTGAAATGTTATATAAGTGGAAAACCTGGGCGATCTTGTATGGCTATATAATTATCTGATTATTGAGTAGCTGTATGGGCTATTACGATGATGTTTTGGGTGACTTTGCTTATAATACGGAATATAAAGTCCCACGGAATAAAGAACTGAATTAACACATTCATAACACAGTTTTATCGTAGCTCTGATTTCAATTCTTAGTTTTATTTGTAATTAATAAGTTTCGAGAAAACAATTATTGTCTGACGTCATGGCGTCAGACAGTACTAGATTTAGCCAAGACTTGTTAGTCAAGTCGTTCAATAGAATTTTTGTGATAACTTGATCTTGGAAACTTCATACTCTCTTAACCATCAATTGGACAGCATGTGGAGTAAAGGAAACATGCAAAACACCCAAACAAGCCAGAGCATCGGAGCTGATGGCATTATTATCACATTAAACATTACTGGTTATATAAGGTTTGGCCATTCTCGAAAATTGCATCATTCATGTCCAGCAAAACAGAAGGAATGAATAAAGCAGGTCAGGTCAACACTTGTCGATTATCTTTATCAGATAAACTAATGGATGTTTATTTTAAATGCATACTACGTCTCTCTACCTTTAGAATTGTTATAAATCTACACATACTCATAACTTGCAGACGTTTGATTTATTCATAGTTATAAAAAAAGGATAGAATAAGATGTTGAATATCCTTTTGCCTAAATGCAAAAAATGTTAGCTCATTTAAAACACGTTTATTATTTCTAATGAAACATTTCTTAATTATATGTATCAAAATTTTTCACCACTTAATGTTTAGATTGTTATGTGTTGTAACTTTTTCTCCCAAAAGTGCTGATTAAATATGTAGTAAGGTCAGATTAATAAAATTTATTAAAATATTAAATGTGTTTGTTTATGTAATTTCAATGTTTACCTGGCCATGTGCTTGTGTTGTGTTTTGTGTTCTGTGTAGTGTTTTGTCCAGTTTGGTAGTGTCATGTGATGTATTATTATTATAATTGAGGCCTTGCCCGGTTCTGCTATTGGTTAAGTCATTTTGGTCAGTCAGGTGGTACATTTATCCCATGCAGTTCATGCTTTTCACTTTCTAGCCAGACCTTGGTCCTGATACATGTAGCAGCAGGTTAGATTTCTCTTACTAATTTTACTAATTTTGTTGTTTAATTAATTCTCTATACTTTTGACAATGACATTTAAAGTTAATATAAAGTTTATCTAAAGCTTAAGATTTGAATAAGTTAATTATTTTGCTTGATTAAAAGACTTATTGATTTTAAATAATCTGAATGTTAAAAACTACATTTAAGTGTGTATGCAGCACCTTGAACTGTTTTATATTATTTTGATGACTAGGTGCTGGGTTACCATATGACAAGTTGTTGTAAATATATAAATCTGAATCAGTAAGCCTCCAGACACATTGTCTTTGGTAAGAACATGTATTATTTATTTTAGATATTTTTATTACTTTGAATTAGTTAATGAAGCTATTGGTTATAAAGTGTGTTTGACAAATATTTTTGATTTATCAAGTTTAATTACCAAAATCCATTTTTACCTCTACTTTTTATGTTTTATCTGTAAAGCCCTAAAAATCTGTTCAGTTGAAATTAAAAATTATTGCCCTTTATTCAGAGTGCTATACATACTGCATCATGAAGGAAAGTATAATGTTGAGCATAATGTTATACGATTGTATTTCATGTGATATATATGATTGTTTATGTTGTAATTATTTGATTTGTAGATTTACATGTATTTATAATATATTTTAAATTTTAGGGCTCAATTCATCAAGATGTGCTAAATAAAAGAATAGAATCCATACAGCAGTCTTATATTTATTGGACCTGTAACATTTGGCGCCCATGCAGGGACCCAGCTCTGCAAGACTGATGTCCATGTGATGGTGGATGGAATTCTCCCACTCGTTGACCAGAGAATACCCACTCTGTGACTGGAGGATACCTACTCTGTGATTGGAGGATCCCCACCCCACCATGTGACAGTAGGATCAAATACACCTACAGGACCAGATCTGTGTACATTAACTGCTTTAACCGTGTGAATTCTTCAGATATTTATTGGACCTGTAACACATAATTTCAGAAAATTTTAGTTTAGGGTGGACACTGTCAAGGAAAAATTTTTTATCGAGCATAAAAAAAGTTATCAGAAGTTAATATTTACCTGATTTAGGGGACAGAAACATAAAGTAGCAATGTATAAATCGGCAAAATTATTGGGGCACGGTCCCCGACCACACACATCCTCCCTCGGTTCTATGTCCGTGAAAAAAGGAAATTACCAGTAATATAGTGTAAATAGAATAAATTCATGTGCAAGTTTTATTTTACGTTAATGCCACTGAATTGAACTTTTCTTGCTTCTTAGCATGACTCAGAGTTATGTTGATTACATTGGATTTAACTTTTCTTGATTCTTCGCGTAAAAATAAATTTGCTCAAGTCAGACAAGCTTTTTAGAAAAGCTAATACTTGTATCGTTTATAGTTAGATCGAAATATTTCCGTCCCTCCTTTTCCCTCTTTTCCCCCTAAAATAAAAGTGATATGTTGTTAATTTGACACTAATGATACATTCAATTTTTTTTCTATACAAACATCATTTCCTATTAATTAATTACCCTGATTTATTTGCGTTTACACGCACGTACCGCATACATGGATATTTAGCCCAAAGAGGTTAACCCCCCCCCTTTTTTTTGATTATCTTTCTTAAATAGATTTCTGCTTTCAGAATCTTTTATTTTAGGGGGTTGAATTTTCGAGAGTTCCTAATTACATGTAGAGCAATTAGCAAACATAACAATATAGAAGGGGTTCGGATATTTTCTAACCTTTTCATATTATCGTAGACTGTGACTATATAACAGAAAAACTGGGCCCTTTATAGTTCTGGTCTAAAGAACAAGGTACTGTTTCAATACAAATCTTGCCCTGTGTTTTTCTTAAAAATAAAAGTGATGTAAAAAATTAAAACTCATGCTTTTTGAATTATTGAAATTCCATGCAGAAAGATCATACAAATCTTTTTTTCTCACATGACCTTTCAAATGCTAATTGTGACGTCATAAACTTGTGCATTTTCCCGTATTTTCTTGAAAAGTTGCAGAAGACATCAATTTTCAATGGAATTTTCTTTCAGATAATATTGTCCACAGGCATCGCCCACAAAGATTTTGAGACATGTGATCTTTCAAAGAATTTTACACAATATATCTAAAAATTAACGTGGGCGATGGCTGTGGACACTATTTTCTTAAGGAAAATAACCCTTGAAATGGGTCATTTTGAGGCTTTTTCTGTTTAAAATAGAGAAATACATCAAATTAATGACATCATATATCCAGAATGGTACTCCATCATGCTATATTCTTTCCTGATTTATTACAGTCATATACTCAACTAATATTTAAGCCAGTTTCAAAACTTTTTGAAAACATTAAATTTTTAGGGCACAATTAAGCTAAAACCATACCTTCTTCTTTGCTTATTTTTATTCTTTCAGCAAACCAAAGTAAACAAACGAAAACTTAATCAGTGAATTCTTCTGTAATCCTTGTTTTTACAACACATTTGTTCAAGGCATCTATATCTTTCGAAGAAACCTGAAGACTATGGAAAATGACGTTCGAAAATTAATGTGAAAATAAAGAAAAAATAATAAATTCAGCAAACACATTAGATCGAATAAAGCACCCCCTCCCCTAGTCTTATCCTATATGAACACATCCGCTACACATCGATGAACCTACAATGTGTATATATCTGCTATCGATGTTCACTTCTGTTTACACCCGATAATTAGCCATTGTCACAGTTCACGAAAGCGTGAGTGTGATCCATCATCCTTCCCAATCGGGTCATTAATTTCATTTGTAACTTTGAGACAAGGAAATCGGACTTCCAAAAGACTTTGGATATAATCATTTAATTGGTTGTAATTGATAGAAATATCAGATTTCTAAACACATCAAACATTAAACAAAATTGTACATATTAAAAAAAAAATAATCTAGCTATGTTTAAAATTCTTATTTTCTGCCATTACCTTAAATACTTTTATAAACATCCGATAAATATGGCATTATCGAGAAACTTTGAATGAAAAATTAAACTATATGGCTAAACTGATTCATTAATACATAAAGCCATTGATTTCTTTTTTTTTTTAAATCTTTTTTTTATTGGGGGGGGGGGGGATCTGCCTTTAATAAATGTTGTGCTAAGAGAAACTTACGAAGTTACATAAATTTGTTACCAATCCATTTAATGTATTCAAAACAAATCTTTTGTGTTACGGGATATGCAAACTATATGACATTGTACGTAATATATATACTGGCATTTCAGTAAATTAATTTGTATTTTATTCTTGAAACCAGTAAATACTATTTCATCACATGCAAATGCACGGAAATCATGTAATATGGGGTACAATTACTCAATGATTAAAAATATTGTATGCTATCGATCTTTCAATTCACACCTTTGATTGAAAATCAATTGCAAAATTCACCCGCAGGGATGAATTCACACCTTATAGAATTACCGGCCAATAGCGGCATATCGAAACCAAGACATATATTCAAGAATTCGGCTTCACACCAATCGATACCTGTCATCATGGTCATTACATAATATTGACAGGGTTGTCCCTAAGGCCCGGGAGCCGG